TTGGTAACTCTCAGTGGGATCAGAGGGTAAAGTGCTAATAAACGATGGTCACATAAACACCACCCTATACCGGAAACGGCATTTGCTCCAACCCCTCAGACAGAGACAAACACCTACAAGATCTCTATCAAGCGTTCTTACAACTACAGTACCCATCTGCGGAAGTGAAGAAACAGATTGATAGAGCCAGAAGAGTTCCCAGAAGTCACCTACTACAGGACAGGCCTAACAAAGAAAATAACAGAACGCCACTAGCCGTCACCTTCAGCCCCCAACTAAAACCCCTCCAACGCATTATTAAGGATCTACAACCTATCCTGAAGGATGACCCAACACTCTCACAAATCTTGGGAGACAGGCCAGTCCTTGCCTACAGACAGCCCCCCAACCTGAAGCAAATACTTCACCAGCAACCACATACCACACAACAGAACCACTAACCCAGGAACCTATCCTTGCAACAAAGCCCGTTGCCAACTGTGCCCACATATCTATTCAGGGGACACCATCACAGGGCCTAATAACATCAGCCACACTATCAGAGGCTCGTTCACCTGCGCATCCACCAATGTGATATATGCCATCATGTGCCAGCAATGCCCCTCTGCCATGTACATTGGTCAAACTGGACAGTCTCTACGTAAAAGAATAAATGGACACAAATCAGATGTCAAGAATTATAACTTTCATAAACCAGTCGGAGAACACTTCAATCTCTCTGGTCATGCGATTACAGACATGAAAGTTGCAATTCTTCAACAAAAAAACTTCAAATCCAGACTCCAGCGAGAAACTGTTGAATTGGAATTCATTTGCAAATTGGATACAATTAACTTAGGCTTGAATAGAGACTGGGAGTGGCTAAGTCATTATGCAAGGTAACCTATTTCCCCTTGTTTTTTCCTAAACCCCCCCCCCCCCCTCAGATATTCTTGTTAAGCCCTGGATTTGTGCTGGAAATGGCCCACCTTGATTATCATACACATTGTAAGGAGAGTGGTCACTTTAGATAAGCTATTGCCAGCAGGAGAGTGGGGTGGGGGAAGGTATTTTTTCATGCTTTTGTGTGTATAAAAGATCTTCTACACTTTCCACAGTATGCATCCGATGAAGTGAGCTGTAGCTCACGAAAGCTTATGCTCAAATAAATTGGTTAGTCTCTAAGGTGCCACAAGTACTCCTTTTCTTTTTGCGAATACAGACTAACACGGCTGTTACTCTGAAACTCTAAAAAAAAATTAATTATACTATTGGCCTTGCAGTATGTAGGCAGGAATGAGAAAACACTTAAGTTAAAACTCCATTTACTAAATAAGCTATTCTTGGAGCTGCAAGTTTTTTCTGGCAGAGCCGTAGGCTGAGCAATTGCAGAGAGACAGTTCATAGGAGATCCAGGTAAAATAAATTGAGAGATTTCCAGTTTATATATAGGCAG